AACATTAAAATATCAACATGCTTATTTGTTTGGGTGTTTGCATATAGCTGTGATGTGAATACTAGCATGCCGTTTATTTCTCTTTGAATGAGATGGCCATTAGATCGATAGGCCATTCCTATATACTCATATCATGATTTAGTTAAATTGTTCTTCCTCGTTTGCGGCACATCTGAAATCTCTGTGCCTGTTTCCTATTCTCAATTTTGCAACTTGATATCCATGTTTGCTGTTTTATGTCAGTATGTATAGCAAATGATCTTTTTGCGACTTTGCCCCATGGACTGTTTTGTTTGCGTCCCTTTACTATGTTGTGACCCTCCTAGTTTGCCCTTGTCAATATTTGGTTTTTAGGCTTTAGAGTTGCTGCCCAGGCCTTTTAAGTCCCGTATTCTTCGTAAGATAGCTAAGCAAGCACAAAAATAATGGGAACTGGGATTAGACAGAGAAGATTGTAGGATGTAGATTATGGATAATGCACAAGCCACTTATTAGAACGTTAAGGTGTTTTTTTCCTTTTGCAGTTCGATCTTTTTTGCATTTCATGTTTGAATAAGCTATTATAAGGGTGAAGTTGAAGCCTTTATTGAGGCTTAGTTTGGAACCCCTCAAGTCGATGTTAGGTATATAAATGATGGTGCAAAACAGTGTTCTCACAATCCTTGATGGAGTGTGCCATCAATTTATGATGGGTTGAGCTTTGACTATGGTTTGGCTGAGGTGTAACCATAGTTGTAGAAGTTATAGACAGGAATACTATTAGTTTTGTTCTAGGTACATCCAGCTTTTACTAACCATCCTATACTTGTATTCTTGAAAAGATTTGTCAAGCTTCACGGGTATTTTATTACCTATTGTATATATGCACATTATCAAGCATCATGGGTATTTTATTTCCTGTTTTTTATCCCTCAAGTTACCGTAGTATTATATCTTTTATAAAAATATTGAAAGACTTTTGCTGAATTTTCTCGGTGCAGAAAGGTTATTTGAGGTTTTTCACTGAGATCATCCTGGTCACTATTTATTTTTTAGAGTTTGTAACCATAAAGTATTGCTTTTCCTTGTGCACACATACACAGTTCTATTGGGATGGTAGTATGAGAACAAATATTTTTGTTGGACTTTAACAGAATATTTGAATGCCACACACATTTTTGAGCTTTGCATACTTTTGCCTAATTGTATGACACTTTCAGAACTTTCCACTCATGTTATACATGTTTCTAGCAATTGAGATTTCAGAGGAAGGAGATGAAAAATGATCTACAGATGCAAGTGGAAGAGTTCCTTTGAAGCTTTATTCATCATTCCACCCTATCTTCAGAAAAAGCTTGCACCTTGTATTTGTATCTTTCTTATGTCTATCAGTCTATGCATATGCCCCTAGAAAGAGGAGATTTTTCTGCACTCATATTGAAACTCCTAAGGAAGTGCAATATGACTCGTTTGAAGCTCTTCATAGTGATAAAGATCACTATGAAGAGGAGATCTTTTATTAGTGATAAAGATCACCATACTTGGGTGATTGACTCGTTTGAAGCTCTTCATAGTGATGGATGACCAAACTTGTTCAATTATGTTGCAAGTCTATATCCTTATTGCATGTTTTATTATGTGATGCTTATTGATAAAGATGACAGGCTTCTTCATATTCCATTCCATGGATGGATGCTCGACTTGTTTAGTTATGTCAAAAGTTTGTGGCCTTATTGCATAAAGAATGTTAAGACTTCATTTTATAGGTTTTTGATGTTTATATTCTACTTATTTGAATTTTTATTTGAATTAATTTCAGGGGATGAAGGATGTGAGATTGATGTCTTGATGGGCTCACTAAAGTCAAAATCCAAGGACTTCGACATATTTTTCTCTCTTTGGTTAAGATTCTCTATATGAAATTGATTGTAATAGACTTTGTTGGTTAAGATCTTCTATATGAAATTGATTGTAATAGACTTTGTTGGTTAATATCTTCTATATGAAATTGATTGTAATAGAATTTGTGACTAGAAATGGATTATAGTTTATATTAGGAATATCATGACATTTACTTTAGATTTGTTTTGGTTCTTTCAAACTCGAAGTTGATGGCCACTCAAGTTTTTGTGTTACGAAATTGCCAATTTTTCTTGAGTTAAGATTGTGTAAACATGTACAATAACTTGTAATTTTTTAAAAATATGACAGAATTACAATTTAATTTAATTATTTTTTGTAAATTATTTAAAATCTAAATCTAAATCCAAAAAGTATGAATTGAAATTATGTTGTGATAATTTTCTTCCTCTTTTCCTCAGAAAGGCAACCAAACAAGAGAGAATGACTTTCTTATGAATTTTCTTCTAACTTTTCTTACAATATTCTTTCTAACCAAACAATAAAAAGATTATCATTTTCTTTTCTTTTTCTTTTCCTTTCTTTTTACTTTCTCTTTCTTTTTCTTTTCTCTCCCTTTCTCTCAAACCAAACATAGCCTTAGAGAGTCAATTTTCACCACTAAAATCCTCCAGTTCATACACCGAACAAAGCGAAAACCTTCCAGAACATCCAACAGCTCCGCATAATCCATAGATATAGAACCTCTGATCCCCATAGAGTAGCAATCAATCACATGTCCGTGATGGTCCCGAATAACACCTCCTAAACCAATAAATTCTCCTTGGAGAGTAAGGAGCGAATGTATCATTTGAGATGGGGTAGAGTGCTAAAATAAGCATGTGTTGAGGGGTAACTCAAGTCGGAAAGTAATTAATTACTCGTTCCCACCAGAATCAATGGGCCGCGTGTCTCCTCTATTAATTAATTATAACTAGATAAATATATATCAACGGTAACCCTACCCCACCCCCACATAGTGACCACACCAAATAAACCGATGGGCAATTTAGTCCCAAAAAAAAAATCATTTCTCACGTACGGACGGTGGTGGATTCACTCAGATTTGCCCCCCTATATCATCCCCTAGGACCTTTCCCCATTCCCCTTATATTAGCCATTCTAATCGCCAAAAACTCGCCGACGATGAGAGCTCCGATCGCGGAGAAGCCCCTGTTTCCTGGCGTCGCCGCAGCCACCCTCATCGCCGGCGCCTCCTCATCTCCGCTTCCTCCGAGGCGGACCGCTCCCTCCTATCCTCTGTTCTCGCCGGCGGTGACCGGACCCATCTCCGACGATCCCACATCCGCCGTCTCCACTACGCACGTCGTCGATAACCCCCCAGCATCCGCTCAGAGATCAGCCTCTCCTATCGCGTGCTCCGCCAAGCGCTCCCCCTGCAACTTCCTCGTCTTCGGCCTTGGCCACGACTCGCTGATGTGGCACTCCTTCAACCTCGCCGGGACCACCATCTTCCTCGAGGAGGACCCCAAGTGGGTCCGCTCCGTCCTCAAGGACGCGCCGATGCTCGAAGCCCACACGGTCAAGTACAAAACCCAGCTCGTCCAAGCCAACGATCTGCTGAAATCATGGCGGAAAAATGAAAATTGCCTGCCGGAGCAGGCTAGGCTCAAAGGGAACCGCGGGTGCAAGCTAGCGCTGTCGGATCTGCCGGAAAAAGTTTACGGGAGGGAGTGGGACGTGATAATGATCGATGCTCCGCGGGGATACTTCAACGAGGCCCCGGGGAGGATGGGGGCCATCTAGCCGCGGTGATGGCGAGGAGCCGGAAGGGGGCGGGGCCCACCGACGTTTTCCTGCATGACGTGGACAGGAGGGTTGAGAAGATGTTCGCGACGGAGTTTTTGTGCAAAAAGAATTTGGTTGAGGGGTCTGGGAGATTGTGGCATTTTAGGATTTGGCCCGTGGGGGGTGGGAATGGTAATGTGAGTGAGAGTTCGGGAGGTTTTTGTTAATTTTGGAGTTTTTGGGGAGGTGGTTTTTATTAGAGTAAATTTTGCGGGGGGTTGGATGGGAGCAGGAACGAGGTAGTGGGCTTTTCCTGTGAGGATTTTTGGGCTTCGCGTTGCAGAGATGACACAGTATGGAGATGGAAATAATAATAATAATACTTGGGTTCAGATGGTAAATTTAGTTTGCTAGAGGGTTGGACTGAATAGCTATGTAATCTTTTTACATGTTGTGTTTTTACTCTGCATTTGAATTTTAGGAGTTTTAAAGTGTTTCTTTAAAAAAACATTATTATTATATGGGGTGACGGGGAATTTGCAATTTTGCATGCTGTCTCTCTTGAAAGAGCATATATATATAATAATAATGTGTGGTTAGAAATTTTGGTGGACACATTTATTAATATAAAACATCTTTTCTTGAAAGAGCATATATATATATAATAATAATGTGTGGTTAGAAATTTCGTCTTGTTGACTTGCACGCTTCGTTGCGGGATTGACTTGCACGCTTCGTTGCGGGATTGATCCTTAGGCAAAATGAGTGGTTAAAAACTTTGATGGACACACTATTCTCTAATCCACCTTAAATTAACAAAACGTTTTTTACATTATATATATAGTATATATATTGATTATATATAATATATATATATATATATAATAATATATATATAAATGAAACGCCCATATAGGAAAAAAATTTAAATGTTTCTCATCTCCATCTTCGAAGCATGTGATTGTAATGATTTATATGTTGATTAGGCTAATTTAGTTTTTTTTATTACACAAATGTTTCACTGATTATATTGATTTTGTGTTGTTAACTACATAAACAAAATATTATGTTTTACTTTCTCTTTATATAATGTTGTCAAAATGTATTTTATAGGGGGAAAATGAGTATGAGATGTATATGAATGTGACTAACTAACATAAGAATAATTGAACGTTTTAAACAGAGCCCAACATCCACCGAAGATTATTGACAGGTGTTGCGGTGAGAGATGACCTTATGCAACATGAACATGAGGTGAATTCAAAAATAATATTCAATGAGTAAGGGCGCGGATAAATAATGTGAAGTAAGGAGAGAGATAATATTGCCAAATGAACCAGAAATCTAGAGAGAGAAAAATACCCCCCCCACCCAATCCGACCAAACCCAAATTGAAAGAACACAAGAGGAGAGAGTGTGAACTATAAAAAATCTATCTTCCCCCTTCTCCCTCCAACCAAACAGAAAAGCTAACTAGTTTGTTCATTCATTCACCTCATTACAACTCATCTTATCTCACTTTTCCTCCTCAAACCCCCATCAAACCAAGCCTCACAGGGAAGGCCTTGTGGGAAAATATGAATTTGGATTTTCCTCAATCTACATAGCAATAAAGATTTATGTCCTTAACCTTAACTATTTTTTATTTAATATATATAATTGTTATTTAACGTGCATGAAAATTGAAATACGTGCAACTCAAGAAATAGGATAATGACATTAACCATTTTAGATAAGAATTAGAGAATATTTAAATTCTTAAATGAGAAAGTTTTGTGTGTCTTGGAATGGAATTCCATACCTATCTTTTTTGTAGTACGCAATATGTGACATTTATTTATATCTATAGAAATATGAACCTTTTGAATCCTTTAGGGGACCATTGAATAGAATATTGTTGTATTTCTTGTTCTCCCAGCGTGTGGAGAAGTAAGATTAAGATGATGATTGTGGGTAACCTTTCTATTAGTGGTTAGCTAGTACTTGTCAACTTCATTCTAATTAATGTGTCTCAAATGCTAAAATATATAACTATTTAGCTAACATCGTAAAACTCATGCGATTGTGTCACTTGTGTGCTTCTCACAATGCACTTCATGTAACTGTGTCTTTCAAAGTTAAAAAAGGAAAAAAGAACTGAGTCACTCATTTTTACTGGATTAATTGCTAATTAACCTCATGTACCATGGTCAGTGAGATGTGAGTCAAAAGAGTGACATCGCTTCACGAGTTCAGGCTTCGGGCCATAAAAAAAACGCTTAACTGTTGAGTATCAACTCAAACACCAAGTTAGTATAGTGTTTTTAATTCTTTGTAGAACTTCATGAGAATTAGATAGAGTTAGAGATCTATCATGATTAGGAGTTTGAATCTTATTCTAATTAGAAAGTTATGTAGGCGTCTAAAATTGCCTATGAGAGCCCGCACGAAACTCGAAGCAATGAATGGGCGAGTCAAGAAGATTTACCTAATCAGCTCGCACGCGTCGGTCAGCATGCACGCCAAATCATCTCGTGCACGTCGGTCAACACGCGCACGCTAATTAACACGCGCGCGTCAATCAGTTCGTGCACATCGGTCAACACGCGTGCATCAATCAACACACGCGCATATTAACCAACGCGCGTGTTGACGGTCAATCCCGCAACGAAGCGTGCAAGTCAACAAGACGATCAAATATGCAAAACGGTGGAAAATACAAGTCCCGGAAGAACCGGAAAACACGAAAATCAGCGAGCCCAAAAGCGCGCCGCGCGGTACGGACCAAACAGACCCGCGCCCGCGCGGGTCGGAATGATCTGACCCGCGCAAGCGCGGGTCAGATTTGTTCTGCGCGGGCTGTTTCGACCCGGTTCGGTTTTTAACGATTTTTCTCGGGATTTGGTCATTCCTGAGCATCCAAACTGATTTGATATCATCCCCTAACATGGTTAATCAGTTATTAACTGAAGATAAGGACGAATCATTCATTCTCATCCAAATAACCGCTTCCTAAGCTTATAAATACGAGCTCGGGTGCTCATTTCTTGGGGGTATTAATTATCAAGAGGAGGAGGTGCTGCCGGATTGAGGAGTCAAAGGAGCACGAATTTTAGCAAATGTTGATAGATCTTGGCAAATTCTTCGGCATAAAGAAGGAGAGTTCGAGAGATCCGACGCCCGTTTCCCCCATTTCCTTGAGATCAGGCTTGGTCTTGATCTCGAGAAGAGCTACTGATTTCGCTTGGTCGATCTCAACGCTTCAAATCAAATACTTCCTCGACGAAGGCGAAGCTCTGCCGAATTTTCAACAACCGGATCTAATCGACGGTCGTCCACGGAAAAACCCCGGCACAGGCAAATATTCCACGCAAGCAGAAGATCGATAAACGATCTCCCTGCGTTTGTTTGACGAAAGTTGTAATCTTTTATTTCTTTCATTGTGTAAAAGTCTTATAAAAAGACTATCTTTTTGTTTTCATTGTAACGACCGGAGTTGTAATGAATACCGCAATGAATACAACAATTTTTAACGAAAACAAGCTGGCGACCACAGTGGGAGCCAACAGCTTCGCTGCCGGAGCTGTCGTGTCGCAACCTCGGATCTGCATCCCGGTTGAAGAAGTGGTCGAATACGAGTTCGACCAACTAAAGTTCGAGGAGTATCTGTCTTCTTCCCCTCCAGATCCTCCGCCTCTCGCAAGCGAAGGAAGATTAACGCCCCCGTTGCCGCGGTAGCTGAACCTTGCAACACCCGTCCGGCCTCCAACGAGTCCGGATCTGCAGATCTGAACTCCTCCTCAATCAAGGAGTTGAGTACAGAAGGCGCCCCCACTTTATCGAAGAGAGCTCACCAAAGGCAGCGCCAACATCTTGCGTGCCAACTCGCTAGGGCTTTGGAGCCAATTGACGGGATCCGTTACGAGGCGGATTTGATATTTAGGCAACACCAAGCGCCCCAACAGCGGACAAATGCTCTCTCCTTCAAATCACCGGCAAGTGAATGGATCCAAGTCAAAAGGATCCGTTCAACTCTGGAGGAACGAATCCAAAAGCGCCGCGCTCTGCTTGCGCATGCACGAATTCTTATGCAAAAGGCCAAAAGGTTGCAGAGGGAAGAAGTGGAAAAGAAGCCACAAAAACTGCACAAAGTTTGGAGGCCAAAGTCCAAGACGGCTGCCGAAAAGATCGAGAATCGTGGGTCACTTGGATCTGACCCTCCAAATCGCGGGTCACTTGGATCCGACCCTCCAAATCGCGGGTCACTTGGATCCGACCCTCCAAATCGCGGGTCACTTAG